ATGCTCACGAGGTACGTTCACCTGGCGGCTGGCCTGCGTCGAGAAGCTCATCAGGATCTTGCGACGCGCATCAAGCAGCTCGCTCTGCTTGCCCTTGATCAGGAACGTGAGCGATTGATTCTTGCCGCTGACAATCTCAATCTGGGCGCCCGTCTCCTTTGTGATCTGCTGGCAAATGCGCTTCGACTCGCCCTCGCCGAATTTCTCAGATTCCGTCGACTTGCGCTCCTCCATGGGCACATGCAGAACCTACAAATGGAAAGATGCGGCAATCAGTGGCATTCAACATGACAGATGTTGCACATGTTGCACTCACCTGAGTTTTCTGCGAGCTGGTCACACGCGCAATTGCCGGCGCAGCGGGGCCAAGGGGCGCGGCTGCGGATGAGTTCGTCGGCAGAGCCGGGAACAGATCGTCATAGCTAAATGCGGGCGTGGCATTGCCAGTGCCGGTGCTGCTGGTGGGCGTGGCCACCGGAGTGGGCGACGATGGCTGCTCGTTGGACGACACCAGCTCCTGGCCATTGTTGAGTGCGTTTGGTTGTTGCTCAATGTTAGTTGCTACAGAAAAAATTAAAAATAATATAATAAGTGCTGTTCCAAAAGGATTCAATTGAGTCTGGTTTACCGTTAGATTCCTCCATGACTGCTGCTTGCATTACTTAAAAAAAGAGAAGAGTCCTTTTTCGTTCCAAGTCGTTACAGTAACACTGCAAATAAAAAAACCAAGAAAATACAGGGTATAAGAAAATGTCATATATAGAACTAAGATCTTATAAAATACTCGCCAAGCATGAGAGCTATTATAAATTGTATATATATATGGCAATCAATATAGTATATTTAGATCAAAATTTATTATTCCTAAGTGTATTTCAATTTCTTATAGTATTTCCTAACCTATAGCTATACTTTGTGATCCCTCTAGTACTTGTTTGTTTTTCTATCTTTACAGGAATTTGTATTCGTATTTATGGATATATTTACATTTATATAATCGATCTCAAATCATACTGCTGACCCAATAAGCTCTCATATTTATCTAAAATACATTTGTTTACGAGGTATTATATTAGTTGAAATACCTAAAGTTTCAAATGACAAACAATTGGTATAGTTTTTTTTTGTTTGTACAACTGTCGCTTAGCATTTAACTGAACTTTGTGAAAGCTGAGCTATATATATGGACATATGCACATATATATATATATATATATGGTTATATATATGTATGTATATTCTTTTATTTTCTTTTGCTGCTCGCTCGCCTGGTAGCGAACGAAAATAAATCCTAGATAAACCAGAAACACAGGCATTAGGCACATGAAAATCTACTTTGGTCTTGATAAGGCTGCGACCCGCATGTCGTTGACGCTCTGATGATAACAGCGTGCTTTACTAGGTGTAGAGGCGGCAGGAGGGCGGGGCCTCGACTTGCTCAGCTGATAAACCAATTCTATTAGAACAGTAGACATTAGTTCTTAACTATACAAAATGCGAAATGGCCACGTAATGGCTATGCCAAAAAAAAAAAAAAATAATGGGTATATACGAGCTAACCTATAAAATTATGTATGTATGCATGTATGGGTGTACGTATGTGTGCATATGTTGACTCCATGTGGAGGTCGGCTTTTGAGCATCGGCTGATAATTGGACAGTTTTGGTGCTCTATCAGCGGACACGCTGGCAAAAGTTTTCAAAGCAAATAGCTGATAGCTATCGATCAGGCTGATAACGAGCCAAGATATAAATACAAACGCATAAATACAGAGGTATGTACAATGTAAGTGCACTAATACTAGTGCATGTTATATAAATGCTGTTATTAGTGCCAGAAAATGTCCGGTTTGGACCAGTGAAAGGTTAAGAAACGGCCACAAAGCTTGTCTAACAGAGAGAGAGAGAGAGGGAGAGAGAGAGAGATCGAGAGTAGCAGCATTCTTTGTTACCAACTATTTCATCTGAATACCGTTAAAGACATGCACTTGTTCAAAGCTGGTTGTCCATGCGTGCTTGTGTGTGTGTGTGTGTGTGGTTTTCTAAATCAGCGCCCAACAAGTTTTTTAGCCTACATTTTTCTTCTGCTTTAGCAGCAGCCAGAAGAACAACAAAAGACGTTGCCACTATCACCGCCATTGGCTTCACGTACACACAAAATGAACGAAAAAAAAGAAAAGCGATCTGTGCCAAGCCGAAGCCGAGATACCCTAAAGGATTTACCAACACAACAAGTTAATATTGGAAAATTCTTAAACTGAACTATGAATGTGCTGCATATATTTTTCATTTATTATTATTGTTGCCTAAAAAACTAAACGAAACAGCGCCAAAGCTGAATTTCTACCGTTGCATGCCCATGCGTAACAAAATGCATGACAATGTCACTGATGCTCCACACGCATAAGCGTATAAAAATGTGTCAAAAGAAGAAACACGCTAAATGTAAGCGAACAGGCGAGAGAGGGAGAGGGACAGGGAGTCTAGCTTGATGAAGTGCTGGGCGGTTATAAGGGGGGGAGCTATAAAACCGGATGATAGCCGGCAACTACATGAAACGATCGGCAAGTGTGTGTGTGTGTGTGTATACGTATGTATGTATGCATGTGTTTGTGTGTTGTGTTCAACGCTGCATGCGCACTTCTTGATTTTTCGTGTCGTCGTCGTTTTAGTATTGGTGGCTGGCTTGGCACCTTTCGAGGCAGCACAAAGAAAAAAAAAAAAAAGACACAGGTAACAAAAAATAACACAAACACACACATGTGCACATGCAAATGTTTATATACATATGCATGCGCTGCAGCGACGTTGATGTCGTCAAGACAGCCAAAGTTCAGCTTGGGCATTTTCCATGCACATTTACATAAAGAAACTCTTTTTTCTTTTGTTTTGGTAAGGTGCTTAGACTAATATTTATTTAAATGCTGTTATTTAACCAAATTGTGTCTGTTTTCTTGGCTTAACGGTACTCCATGCTGTCAGATGTGCAGAAGCAGATATATGTACATATGTGCAAAAGAGTAAGCTAAAAAAAAAAACCTTGACGTAGCCAGTTTTGCATGAAAGTCGGCTGCATACCTGAAAAAGAAGATATTTACTTCTTTAAGCTGGCAACAGAGTTGCTTTTACCACGCTGAAAATGGCTTTTTTAAAGACTCAGCGGTATTTATAGCATTTTTTTTATATTGCTCAATTCGAAAACTAGCTTTTATACTGGCTGAAGTTGGACAGCACTGGCTGTGCTTAAAATGCTAAATTATGCAAATGTATACAAAATATTGTATGGAATTATGTTCGGTAACGTTATTTTTTTGTTTTTTTTTTTTTTTGTTTTAGTGGTTGCAGGTTGTTCAACTTACTGTACTGTAAAATCCAAAAAATCCGGCCTATATTTGTCCTTTAACAAAATCCAGTTTGATCAACTTGGCGTGTCTCCAGCTGCAATATACAAATACACAAGAGTTTTAATTATTTAATGTGGTATATGTTAAGTGCATCGCAACATGTAAAACAGCAAAAGGCAATAAAGATGCCACCCTTTAATATGAAACTAATAACAAAAGGAAAAACATGTTTTTGTGCTGCCGCCCCAAATGCGCTACACTGAATGCAATTGGTGGAGCATATGGCAACATTGGCAAGCCGCTGCCGTGTTTAATAACAGAAATGTGCATAAATTCAAGAGAGTCCGGAATGACAGGAAGAGCGGGAGAGAGCGAGCGCTGCCCTATTGCAGAAGCTTGCGGCGACCTTTATGCATAAACATGCGGGCCACTTATTGGACAATTATTGTTTTTACTGCAGTTGAGCGCACAAAACTGGAGCATAAAATATGTGTGTATGTGTGTGTGTGCGTAGGCGGAAGCGAACAAGCGAGCGAGAAAGAGCGCTGTGTGGGTATTAGTACTAAATGTTCTGTAAGAGCGAGTGCTGTCACTTTATATGGGTGAAAGGCCTGTAGAGGTTTCAACTTGTTTGATCGTGTGGGGGCCACTTTAAAATTTGGGCATTTTGGTTAGATGTACTGTATGTATGTGAAAGACGAAATACTAAAAGTTCAAAAATCGTATGGCTCACGCTCTCACACACACACACAGCACTCATACAAAGGCACGCGCGCACTAACACAAATACAAATTCCGCCGCCACCGCTATGTATGTATGTCTGCTGTTGCTGCTCCCGCTGCTGTCAATCGGACATAGACACACATATACATAAGTATGTACGTGTGTGCATAGTTTTATTGGTGTATGCGTGGACGACGTTTTAGTCTCCGCCGCCACAACCGCCACAGCGGACAACGAAATATGGCTCTGACTTTTGTGTCTTTCACTGTGTGCGTGTGAGTGAGTGCCCGTGCCCTGCATATGTGTGACGACGACGACGACAGCGACAGCGACAGACAGCCCGTGCGGTGATAATACTATTGAAAAACACGTTGTTTTCTTTCGAATGATTTCAAGCGATTTTTATATATGTAATATAGTCGGCATTTTCACTCGAACGTGGGCATTAAACTAAATTATTTGTAAAATGCAAGCAAGAAGTTTCCACGTTGCGGCAGCCGCGGCCTCAATTTTCTCTCTAGTCGCCGCCGCCTTGCGGCCCACACAATTGTAAATTAAAGCACATTTTTGTTAAACTTGTGCAATTGAAATTGCTCATTTAAGCGCGCACAGTTTGTTTTGGTATTTAAAAGCTTTTGTTTAAAACGGTTTTATTAATTTAAGTTTAAACTTTCTACTTAGAACTGCAATACGCACACGAAACGGATATCAACTCCAAGTAAAGTGAATGAATGAGCAACTGAGCGAACGTGGCAAAATGCAGCGTGTTGCCACATGGCGGTTTCGCAGTGGCAGCGCTACGGGTAAAAGAAATTCGGTGTTGCCAGTAGGTTGGCATATTGTGGGCGTTTTGCTGGCACAGTTATCGATAACAAAAGTGGCAACGCCCGTCCGACTTGTTGCCATCCATAGCGCCATTCACAACAAAGACAAAAAAAACGAAAAAAAAGAGCGAGTGACTTTTTTGTAGTCTTGCTCTATTAGCACGGAAAATACCCGTTCTCTTGGCATTTCCGAAAGCAGAAACTATTTATAGCACAATCAAATTCTCACGCGGCAAACACAATATGCCAAAACTAAAGAGTTTGCTGCCCAACATCTTTGGCGGCAACAAAGAGGTGCACACAACAAATATGAATTCGGAAGGACGACTAGAAACAGATGCATTGCCGATCAGCGATACGGATAACAATAGCGGCGCCCTATCGCTGCCCTCCAATACGCCAACAGCATCAGCAGATCTAACCGAATCGGTGTTGCGCGAACTCTCCGATCCCAATTACAATTCCATGGATGTGGTGCAATCCGCGCAGATACCGGGCAACGCGCTGGTCAATCGCAACGGCAACGGCAGCGGCAGCAGCAGCAGCGGCAACAACAACAACACAATGAACACCATGAATGTGCACAGTGCACAGCAACAGGTGGTGATGAACTTCTCGAATGCCAGCAATTTGCATTTTGGCTCAGTTTATAATTTTAATCAAAATTTGAGCGCCTGCAGCTCACGCAAAGGCAGCACCAGCACCACAGAGGAGCTGGCGAGCGCCATGCCACCAGCCGATGGTAAACGTCATGTGCCGCGCAAAACGGTCAGCATTGTGGCCATGATGCAGTCCCAGCAGGAGCCCGACGAGCGTCTGCTCGACACGGTCGCCACGCATCTGGGCGAGGGCTGGAAGCATGTTATGCGCGAACTTGGCCATTCCGAAGGTCAGATCGAGCAGGCGATTATCGATCATCAAATGCACGGCAACATCAAGGAGGTCAGTCAGTCAATCTACATATTTCACAACTGTTTCGCAGCTGATAAGCTTCGCCTTACGCTTTTGCTTGCAGGTCATCTACCAATTGCTGCTAATGTGGGTGCGCGGGGCGGATGACGGGGTCGCCACCGTGGGACGACTCACCACGCTGCTATGGGAAACCCAGCATCGCGAATGTGTGCAGCGCATGAAACTGGTTTGGAAGGCGCTCGAGAAGCGCAAGACGTCCAGTTAGCTGACCACAAATAAACCGAACGACACATAACAAAAAAAAAGGAAAAAAAAACGACAAAACAGGGCATTTCGGAGCGGCGATTCGTGCAAAAGCGCGTGTCTTAGTCTTAGGTCTCTAATTTAGTTGTTAAAACTTATAATTTTTAGTACATATTTGTCACGCCTTTTCTGTGCACTTAAGCATTATTTTCTGTGCAATATTGTTAAAAACGAAAAAAAAGCAATTTTGACAAACGGCATATTGTTAAATACCGTTAATATATATATATATATATATATATATATATGTAAACTTCGAATAAGTGCCTAACAAGTTTGTCCTCAAGCAACTTGATTTGTTTCCAAATGTGATATTTCGAGTGCAAGTTCGTTGTGCAATATGCATTTTTCACCCAAGTAATCTACAGACAATAAACAAGCCGTACATCTGGTGCGCCTTTTATTATGTAATCAAGTTTATATATTTATATATATAATATGTATGTAAATTCATGGCAAATCTCACTCAAACGATCTTTGTGATCTTTGCGCTAAACATATCAATTAACATTTGCGCGCCATTCCCATTGACGGACTGATAGTCCGGCAGCTGTTCCATGCGCGACACCCAGCCGCTGAGCCGTGGATAACGCTTCTGTTCGATGGGCGCCAGGCCCAATAGGCTGGCCACCGACGAGATGCAGCTGTAGTCGGCCAGGGTCAGCGTGCTGCCGCACAAATAGTTTTGTTTGTCCAGAAATGCCTCCAGAAAAGCGTACATCTCGTAGATGGCCTCAATCTTGCCGCGCGGCACCTCCGTCTCGTTGCGATAGAACACGGGCAGGGCTATGTTGCGTAAACAGCCTTGGAATATGACGCCCGACTCGAAGTGCAGGCGCTGATCGACGACGGCACGCTTGTAGAAATCCTTGGGATACAGTGCATCATCTTTGCCGTATTTGCGCACCAGATACGCCATTATGGCATGCGAGTCCCAGATGCATTTGCCATCATCCTCCAGCATGGGCACCGTGTGCTGTGGATTCTTCAGCGTATACTCTCTGTTCTTGTGCTCACCGGCCAGCAGATTGATCAGCTTGTACTCGTACTGCAGACCCAGCGCGTGCAGGGTCATCTTGCAGGCGCGCACCGGTGGACTCGGTTCCAGGCCATACAACACCAGTTTACCCATTTTTATGCCAAGTCGAGAGACGTCCGTGAGCTCGTACGGCTGTAGCTGGACTGAAGCTGTCTCTCTCTCTCTCTCTCGGCTCGAGCCGTAATCGTGTGCGAATCGCTGCTGGCATTAATTACTATATCATTTAATTCCGTTTCGTTTCGTAGTTTATAAATGTTTGTATATATATGCATATGTATATAGTTTTTCTGCTGTCGCGACTGTCAATCCAGCAATCCGAGGGGCTTGCCGGACTAGCATGCATTCATTTTAATATATATACTAGGGGCGGCTTTTGACTACGGAGTCGATTGCCAATTATATAATTAAATAGTCACTGTTATTGAATTTAGTTACCAATTGCAATTAGTTATATCAACAAACAAGATAATCATCAAATCAACATTTCTGTTCTATATTTTTATGCTCAAACAGGATTTTTTTTTTTTAGATAAGTACTACTTTCGAGCGATTGTAAAAAATTTGAATATTCTGCGTTTGGGTCTAAAAAACGTATCTAAAACTCAAACTCAGACAAATTCCATTGTATAAACAATTGTTATCTTATGTCTGCCTTTATTTGCACTTATATAACAAACGATTAAAGTTATTTGCGGAACTCGTTTCAATTCTTGGAAAACCTGTCTATTTTTTTTCAATGCAATGACTCTGTTTTTTTTAAGCTTATCAGCGCGATAAGAAAATCAAGTCGATAAACTGATAACTGTTGTTGATAACCTACAAAATGTGCAAGGTAAGTGCGGCGCAGGTATTTTAAGCCGATCAGAAAAAGGTCAGTGCTGCTCTTACTAAAAGATTATATTTGAATTATTATAGTGAAGGTCATAAGGACACAAGCTAAGGTCAAAAGTTCATGTTAAATAGCTTCAGATTAGATAACTATATAAACTATATACAGGTAAATATATAACTAGCATATCATAATCAATCTCCAATCAGAAAAGCTTTAACCTACAAACTGACTCTCTAGAGCTCTAATAAATGATAATGTTAAGCTTAAAGTTAAGAGCGCAATAAAGTCTTAATCCTAACTGCGGCCTTAAACTAAGAGAGTGCTTACAAATATTTTTTTAAGAGTACGCTATTTTCAATGATGCTTTATGTGCCTTACCTGAGATTTTGTCAAATAAAGAGAGTTCCCACTTTATTTGTTTTTATTTTGCTGCTTCTTCATCAGTTGCTGCTGTTCCCTCTCTTCTCTTTTTTTGTGTGGCCACTGTGAACTTTGTTGTGACTGTTCCCACTCTTCTCAGCTAATGTGTGGCCACTGTGAACGTTGCACAAAAAGTCCATGCGACACATTCAAGCTTTGAGCTTGGGATATTTAACGGCATCAATGTCCATTGAGCTGATCGACGAGATGAGACCAAAGTCGGCAATGGTCAAGCCTCCACGAAATCGTAGGCCTCAAACATGGGCCCCGTGTGCTGCGGATTCTGCTGCAGATAAGCCGGCGACAGCTGCTCTGCCTTCAGTACGTTTACGGACTGGGATCGAGGCCGTACAGTGTCAGCTTGACCATGTTGCCGGTTCGCTAGCTGAACCATTACTGAAGCCTGAGAAGAGCTTTTACAGCAGCTGCCAAAAAACTAGCAGTAAAAAAAAAACAGAGAGCATACGGGACAAAGTAGAATATTTGGAATTTTACTCTGAATCTGCTAATTCCATAGTTACCTTTTCGCACTCTCTCTCTCCCTCTCTTTAAATGCGTTAAAAGCACTAGCGAAGAGCAAACACAATTGGGCAGCAGTTTATGAATTAAAGTAAAACGTCATTCGCTTTAACTGTTTTAAGAGATAAGCTTCAAAGTTGGGAAATTTTTATACTTAGCTCCATTGAGTAGTAAATAGATAAATAAATATTTATAGCTCAATGACTAAGAGTAAGTGCTAAGAAATGCACACAGAGCATTATTCCCTCCATAAACTGCAGCTCTCTCGATTGTGACTGAAAAACCCGTAATTTGGCAAATCATGCATGTTTTTTCCATTAGACGCAGCTGTTGCTCTCTCTTTCACTCGCCCACGTAGCCCAAAGAGCTTTTACGTAAAAATTTCAACAATATCGATTATCTATGATAAGATAACCATCAATAATCATAAAACATTTATTGAAAAGTTATTGGAAAACTAATAATGCGGACTCACTTAGTCAACTACTGTGAACTTTTTGCTTTTAATAACAGCCGCAAATTGCTCTGCACCCTTCGCATTTTCCGCATAGTAGGGCAGCTGCTCCAGGCGCTTGATCCATGCGCTCAGCTTGGGGTACTTTGTGGCCTCGATGGGGATGTAGGGCACCAGCGAGGTGATCGACGAGATGAGACTGAAGTCGGCAATGGTTAGCTGATCGCCGGCAATGTACTTGTTATCCTTGAGGAAGGACTCGACGAAATCGTACGCCTCGGTAATTGCCTCGATGCGCTCCTTGGGCACCTCAGTCTTGCCCAGGAAGAGAACGTATTTGGTAATGCTGCGCAGAGCATTGGCGAACACGACTCCGCCCTCGAAGTGCAGGCGCTGATCCACGACGGCGCGCTTGAGCAGATCCTTGGGATACAGCGAGTCGTCCTTGGCGTATTTGCCCACCAGATATGCGATTATGGCATGCGAGTCCCAAATGAGCGCCTCTCCGTCCTCCAGCAGGGGCACCGTGTGCTGCGGATTCTTCTTCAGATATGCCTCGGAGAACTGCTCCTTGTTCAGGACATTGACCACCGTGTACTCGTAGGGCAGCTGCAGTGCAGCCAGCGTCAGCTTGACAGCACGCACTGGAGGGCTGGCATCCACACCGTATAGTACTAGCTTACCCATGTTCAACCTGATCGACGTGTCAACGTTAACTGACCGGGCACGGGGCGCGTCGACGCTTTATATATGCACTCGAGCTCGAAGAGAGCCGAACAAGTTGCCGAATTTCGTGTGCAAGAGAGGAAAGTTAAAGCAAAGTTTGCTGGCACATATATTTTAATTTCCCTACGCTCTTTGATATCGCTTCGATATCAGTTCGATTGGGCGAGCCGTAGGGTATGCAAGGAATTGTGTTCTCTTCGATTTGTGACGTCACGACATTGCGAATTTGTGCGCTTTGTATAAACATAAGCCAATGTTGATGATGTGTTTTCATTAAATTAATTAAACAATTAAAATTAAAAAAAATAAATAAAAACCATAAGAGGTGTCTTACAATGGTGAATCGATTAATTTGTGCTTTGCGAAAAAACACAAACAATTGTATAAATAAATAAACAAGCTCAAAATGAACAATTGCTGTTGAAATTGAACCGGCAACTTCTCGATTGCTAGTTCGACGCGCTGTCAGTGAGTCATCAAAAACTTGTCATGTCCACAGTTAATCCATAGATAATCAATAGCTAACTGTTAAGGCCCGCTCTCTTAGGCAATTACTGTACATTTTTTACCTCTAATAAAAGCCGCATATTGCTCTGCCCCTTTGGCATTTTCCCCATAATAGGGCAGCTGCTCCAAGCGCTTGATCCATGCGCTCAGCTTGGGAAATTTAACGGCATCAATGCCCATAAAATCGTACACCTCGACAATGGCTTCAATGCGCTCCTTGGGCACCGGCTTCGAGCGGAAAACCAATGTAGCGATGCTGCGCCGTAAAGCGTTGGCTTTCCCATGTTGACAGTCCACGCCGTGTGAACGATAACTGCTGGGCGAGGGGGCGCATCAATGCCTTTTATAGAGAGATAAACATGTGGCCAGATTGCGAGTGCTACTGAGAGCGAAGCGGCTGCAGCTTAAGAGCGAGCTCTATTTGCTGCTCTCTTTTAAAGTCGAGAACAGTTGCTTCTTCTTCGCATTTAAGCCGAAATTAATTACATTTGCTAAATGCTAATGTTTTTTTTTAATTAGCAAAGGGGTGTGCTGAGGGGCAGAGTAAAACTAGTTACCGTTAGTTACTAAGCAATTCAGCTGTGTGTATGTGTGTGTGAGTGTATTCTTTTATATTGCTTTACTTAAGCTACGTGCTCTTAGTTTCAAAATGTGCCCAACGGGTAATTAATAGAAAGTATTTATTGCTCAATGCAGATATGCTGATCTGGTACTTTCTCTCAGAGTACACGCGCATTTATATGCAAGTGCCGGCAAAGCTAAGAGTGTGTGAATGTGTGTGTGTGTTGAATAGATAGTTAACTGATTGCGCTCTTCATGTTTGTCGCAGTCCATGAAATAACTCTCTCTGCGATCGCTCGCTCTTTTTTCAACTACCAAAAGCGCTGTCACGCCATGATGCAGCGGTTTCTGTTCCAAACAAATATTTCGTCATAAACTGAAGAGAGCCCAAGTGTCGGGCGCTCTTTAAATATTATTTTGTGTAATTAGCTCTTTGTCAACACACATACATACACATGTGCATTAAATGGGCATTTTACTGAGAGCCAAGCCCCAAACTAAGCAACAATTGTAAAGTTTTTCGACTTAAGCATAGCCTCCAGCTGTGCAGCGCCCACGCCGTTGGCCTCCTCGTAGTAGGGCAGCTCCTTGAGCCGCTCCAGCCAGGCCAAGATCTTGGGATACTTCACCGGATCCAGCTCCAGGTAGACAGCCAGGCAGCTTATCGACGAGACAAAGCTAAAGTCGGCTATGGTCAGCTCGTTGCCGGCCACGAAATCGTTATCGCCCAGAAATAGCTCGACCAGGTCATAGATCTCAGCCACCGCATCGATGCGGGACTGTTCAATGGCCGTTTCGCCCAGAAAGAGCACGCTCCTCGTGATGGGACGCAGTGCGCCCGTGAACATCAGACCCGAATCGAAGTGCAGACGCTGATCGACAATCGCACGCTGCCGGCTATCCGTCGGATACAGTGCATCATTTGCCGCATACTTGCCCACCAGGTAGGCCATGATGGCATGCGAATCCCAGATGCATACCTCGTCATCCTCCAGCAACGGCACCGTGTGCTGCGGATTCTTCTGCCGGAACTCGGGCAACAAATGCTCACCGGCTGGTATATTAACGGGCACCAGATCGTAGGGCAGCTCCAGCGCCTTCAGCGTCAGCAGACAGGCCCGTGTCGGTGGACTTGCCTCCAGGCCGTAGATCAAAAGTTTGCCCATGATTCGGCGTTGATTGAATATTGCGACTAAATGCGAGGCGCTGGCCGGCAGGTCCTTATATATGCCCCAGCCTGGCCGGGGACACGTGGCCTCTGGGTCGAGGGACACGTAAGTCTATAAGGAAATACAAATCGAGAAGGAGGCGAAGACTCAACTTGATGAAGGGCAGCAAATAATTGATACACATTTAAAATGCGCCCTTATTCCAGGTGCTACGTGGGCTGTTAACGACACCTTGGGAGTGTTAACGGTACCCTGTATAAGAAGGTAAATGTTGGAAGAAATTATAAGAAATCTGCGAACATAATTTAATTAATATAATGTAGTACAATAGAATAAAATCTAGTGAGTAGAGTGCCAGAATTGTTTATAACAAAAATTATATAAATATTTAATAAATATTTTATAAATTTCATATTTCCAGCCAAGCAACTCCGGCTGTCTATAGGGTATATCTAGGGTATCCAAGTCGCGTTCTAAAATGTTTATCCTTCTTTTAGAAAGTACGAATTATTCCTAACTAAAATTCGTATGTTTCATTCTTCCGGCTAAGCAACCCCCGCTGTCTATAGGGTATATCTAGGGTATCCAAGTCGCGTTCTTAAATGTTTCTCCTTCTCTTAGAAAGTCAGAATTATTTCTAACTAAAATTCTTGTATTTCATATTACCAGCCAAGCAACTCCGGCTGTCTATAGGGTATATCTAGGGTATCCAAGTCGCGTTCTAAACTTTTCTCCTTCTCTTAGAAAGTCAGAATTATTTCTAACTAAAATTCTTGTATTTCATATTACCAGCCAAGCAACTCCGGCTGTCTATAGGGTATATCTAGGGTATCCAAGTCGCGTTCTAAACTTTTCTCCCTTGTTTGATTTCAATAATTTATGCACTGCGAGGCACGCAAACTGTCAAACAGTCTAAATAATCCATTAGCTGGTTAGTTAGTTGGTTTAAGGGGCCGTCCAACTTTAAGCCAAGCGACTAATTTTAGCCTTGCCCATGACACATGCCCCGGAGCTCTGGGCAAATATTGGCTGTGCCCATAGATAAGAGTTCAAAGCTCAGACACTTAACGCGTAGCATTAATAAACAATCAGGCAAAAACTTAAACTTGCAGCATTATGACGTCTCCAGCAGCTAGTTGGTGGTGCTTGTAGTTAGTATCTAATCTTATCTAATCGCTTGTCCAAAATCAGTTTCATGCACTCGTCGACTCGCCTTTTGTCAGTTGAAACTTGTCTGCCCTGGACTGAAGCAGGCGCAGAATCCGCAAACGAATTGCTTGAAGTAACATTAACAATTCCAAAGATCCTTCCAGGCATGGTGCTCATCCTGTTTGGCACGGAGCTGAGTCCTCCGGTGCGTGCTGTGCTCTTGACGCTGCGCGCTCTGGAGCTGGAGCACGAGTTCCGGCAGCTGGATTTGCTGGCTGGCGAGCATCTGGAGGCGGATTTTGTGCGCAAGAATCCGCAGCATACGGTGCCCCTGCTGGAGGATGGCGAGGCATACATCTGGGACTCGCATGCCATAATTGGCTATCTGGTGCAGAAATATGCCAAGGATGATGCACTGTATCCGCGCGAGCCGCTGCCACGCGCCATTGTCGATCAGCGTCTGCATTTCGAGTCGGGCGTTCTGTTTCCCAGCTTCAAGGAGCTGCAGCGCCAGCTCTTCCAGGAGCACGCCACGGAGCTGCCCAAGCAGCGCATTGCCCAGCTGCACGAGTCGTATGCGCTGCTCGAGCAGTTTCTGGCCCGGCACAACTATCTGGCCGGCGAGCAGCTAACCATTGCCGACTTCAGCATTGTCGCCACGCTGAGCACTTTGGATCTGTGCTATGCGCCGCTGGATCCCCACAAGTATCCCAAGCTGAGCGCCTGGCTGGCACGAATCTCGGCTCTGCCCTACTACGAGCAGGCCAATCTGCAAGGAGCGCGTCGCCTCGCCGACCTGGTGCGCGCCAAGCTGCCCAAACAGTTTGACAAGCTCTGGCAAAAGGCTTTCGAGGACATCAAGAGCGGCGCGTGCAAGCAGTAAAGTAATCACAGCCTATAATGAACGCATTTTAGCCTCCCTTTTTTTTTTGTATTTCACCAAATGTAAAATGTCTTGAATAAAGTTTATGTATTCGCTTGTCTGGCCAAGAATATGTGCCACAACATTTCCCTTGCGTATCGACTTTCAAATACCTATGCCAAAAAAAAACTTAAATTAATAAAAACTTAATTATTTTCATATTTCAAATGAAGCACTCAGAGAAAAGGGGCGTTGTACCATGCCCTTTTGTGCCCACAATTTGTGCATTTCGCTTAGGCATTTTCTTAAATTAAGTATGCATAAAGCTAAAAATTCATTAATTCCAAGAATGTGCCTGTGAAAATTAAGCTCAAGCTCTTTTGTGCCCACAATTTTTTAATTTCGCTTAGCCGTTTTCTTAAATTAAGTATGCATTTTCTTAAATGAAGTATGAATCACGCTAAAAATTCATTGAAAGCAAGATTTGGCCTGCCTTAAATAAAGTTTTTATTCATTTTCTTTAAATATTTTAAGAAGTTTCAAGATAAGCTGCTTTTTAGGCATTTTCTCACTTGATTTAAATAAAAACTTGGTATTTTCTTGAATAAAGAGACTTTTTCTTCAATATATTTGAAATTTGATAAAAAAAAAGGTTTTCCAATCGAACTGCGGCAACCCCTTGCTGCTTGTTATTGTGCTATTTTATTATTAAGTTTAGCTTTATTTTAATTTTTCTGTTATTATCTGGAACAACTTAAATTAAATTTGTATGAATATTTACAATCTACTTATTCTACTGGTAAGTCTTATATACAAATTTACAGTGTCAACTATATAAATCGATCTGGGAGATCTATTGGGTGAGACCTTCGTAGTCTCCTCCGCGTTCGGAGTCCTCCAATTCTGCGCCTATTCAGAAGACGCCTAGCCAGTCGATTAGGATGACTTCTCAGTCGCGCTATATAATTTGCGGCCTGTATATTTATTATGTCCCCGACTTTGGGCACTCCTAAGTCTTTTTCCAAGTCGGAGGTTCTCATATACCAGGGGGCACCAGACAGATATCGGAGCGTTTTTGCTTGGAGCACCCTGATTTTTGAAAGACTGGACTTTGCAGCAATGCCATATACCTGGATACCATAACGCCAGGCGGGAGCTATGCAGGATTTATAAATGGTGACTTTATTTTTCAAAGATAGCGCATTTCTACTGTTCAGAAGCCATCTTAGTTTTCTTATTCTGTTCTTTAGGGTTACTGAAACACTTGTGATGTGCTTGTTAAAGTTCAAGCGTCTGTCTAGGTGCACACCTAAGTATTTGTGGCTGTTGAAGTGCGTCACCAATTGGCCGCGCAAGAAAACTCCCGGACACATGTCCCTCCGTAGCGCATAGGTCACATTGGCGCATTTATTTAAATTAATGCCAATATTCCAGCGCTTGGCCCACATTTCAAATTGGTGGAGATATTGCTGCAGGACGTCGGTAGCTTCGTAGACACAATCGTTTCTTGACAAGATGGCTGTGTCATCTGCAAAAGTGGCGATTGTAAGGTCGTGGGGGTCCGCGACTTCAATTGTAGAGCCAGTGGGCATATCGTAGGTAAAGAGGGTGTAGAGCGTGGGCCCTAGCACACTCCCTTGAGGAACGCCAGCCCCGATGGCCTTCATGTTTGACTCAACTCCATCGAGTACTACCGAAAATGACCGGTTTGTCAAATAATTCTGCACAATTAAATATAGTTGAGGTGGCAGTAAGGGCTTAATTTTGCAGAGTAGCCCATCATGCCAGACTCTGTCGAAGGCTTGTTTTATGTCTAAGTACGCTGCCACTACGTACTCTTTGGCTTCGAAACCCTCGAGGATAAAATTCACCACCCTATTTAGCTGTTCCGGTGTGCCATGAGATTTTCGGAACCCAAACTGAAAGGGGGGAATTTTTTCTTTAATTCTGTCCAAAGACAGCAGTCTCGTAAGCAGACAACGTTCGAATAGTTTTCCGATCGTGGGCAACAAACTAATAGGCCTGTATGAGTCTAGGGATGAGGGGCTCATTCCAGCCTTATAGATCATGCATATTCTCGCCTTTTTCCATTGGCTTGGAACATGCCCCAATCTCAATACCGCATTAAAGATTAACACTAAAAATAGGACTGCTCTGACCGGCAATGCCTTTAGTGTTATGTTGTCGATGCCATCATCGCCAGGAGCTTTTCTTGTCTTAAGTGCTGCTATGTGGTCTGATACTTCGTTGACAGTGATTGGAGCAACTGGGAGGCTTAGCTGGCCTGGGCTCTCCAGTGTGAGTTGAACCCTTCTGTTCATGCTTGCCGAACTTGTATTAAAAGGCTTGAAGCGATCCTCCAAGTCTTCGGCAAATGCATCAGCCCGTTCCTTTGGAGATCTGGCCCAAGATCCATCAGGCTTTCTGATCGGAAATTTGGGGGACACTTGCTGTTTGTGCCTTCTCGTCAGTCTCCATAGGGAGTGACTTGAGGATTCATCTGGAGAAACATTTTCCAAAAAACGGTCGGTTTCCCTTTGTCTATTCAGCTGCAGCAGCTTTTTGACACGGTTCGACACTCTACGGTAGATCCTGTCCACAATTGGATCTCCGGTTCGACAGTACTGCCTTCTAATCCTTCTCTTAATCAGCAGTAGTGTATGGATTGCTGGCGGAAGTCTCACTTGTGGTCGTGAGCTTTCTGATCGGCTTACTGGCGCAGAAGTGAGGGCTGCCGAGTGAACCTTGTTCAGGAATAGCGCATATACATCTTCGATGTCTTCTGGTGCAAGTATTTCCAAGTTTAGGTCTAGAGTTTCCTCTAGATCTCGTCGAAAAGCAGCAATGTTGGCTCCAGGAGGCAGCAGACGACCTTTAATTGTTTTGCCCTTTGGAATACAGTCGTAACCAACTACTAGTGGGATATGATCAGAGGATAGCTGAAACTCAGGCCTTATACTTAAGCCATCTGGGTGAAGTCCGTTATAAAT